CATCCTTGTCATCGAATCCAGCTTGATTATCTTCACCAAATCCAGCTTGGCTATCTTTTTCCTGACTGTGTAGGTGACTCATTAGATTGGAATGATTCATCATATTGAAATCTTGTGTTTTCAATATCCCCCAGCAAGATGGAGAGTAGATATTCATCACTCCCATCTTGAATATGCATGAATAAGAATTTTGTGAATTTAAGGATTTGGTTAAAACATCAGCAATCTGAGAATTACTGGACACATGTTGTGTCACAATGCTCCCATCTTATATCTTGTCTCGAATCAAGTGACAATCGAGCTCAATATGTTTGGTTCTTTCGTGAAAAATCGGATTTGTGGCTATGTAGATAGCTTCCTTATTATCACAGTTAAGGACAGCAGCTTCAGGGAGTTTTATCTTCAAATCTTTAAGTAAGTAACCAAGCCAAGTGATTTCACAACATAAGTTAGCCATTGCTCTGTATTCCGCCTCCGCAGAAGATAGAGATACCACATGCTGTTTCTTTGACTTCCATGATATTAAGGACCTGCCAATGAATACACAATAGCCAGTCACTGACCTTCTGGTATCAACACAAGCCCCCCAATCTGAATCACAATATCCGTTCAGCCGTATGTTTGAATCTGCATGGTAGAATAGCCCTTGACCTGGTGCTCTTTTGATGTACCTTAAAACTTTATGAGCAGCATATAGATGTGGGATTCTATGATTTCCCATAAAACGACTTAATAGTTGGACTGAGCAGGCGAGATCTGGTATGGTGATGGTTAGATATAGCAATCTACCTACCAATCTCCTGTAAAGTGATGGTTCAGGTAGCAACTCTCCTTCATCCTTGCTAAGCTTCACGTTTTGATAAAGTGGAATTCTGGCAAGAGCAGAGCCAATAGTGCCTTAGTCCTTTAGAATATCGAGAGAATATTTCCTTTGACAAATGTGTATACCATATTTGGTCCTTCCAACCTTAATACCTAGAAAGTATTTTAATTTCCCTAGGTCTTTGATTTTGAACTTATCATTGAGGGACACTTTAAGCTCATTAATAGTATCAATACAATTCCCAGCAATTATTATATCATCAATGTAAACAAGTATTGCAGTAAAAATTTCACCAGTCAACTTGATAAATAGGCTATAATCGGCCTTTGATTAAATGTAACCTTGTTCAACAATAAAGTTGGAGATTTTTGAATAACATTGGCATGAGGCTTGCTTCAAGCCATAGATACTCTTCCGCACCTTGTACACTTTGTTTCCATTGGCATTAGAGTAACCAGAGGGTAGTTCCATATAGAGATCTCCATCCAATTCTCCATGCAAAAAGGCGTTATTCACATCAAATTGACATAATAAGGTAGGGAACTACCTACGTTGGCCAAGTAAAGTTCTGATGGTGATCAATTTGGCCACAGGGGAGAATGTTTCGTAGTAATCAAGCCCCTCTTGTTGCATGTAACCTTTAGATACTAATCGTGCTTTGAATCTCTCAAAACTGCCATTTGCATTGAATTTTACCTTGTAAACCCATTTACACCCTATTGCTTTTTTACCAGAAGGTAGTTTGGCCAAGATCCAAGTATCATTAAGTTCGAGGGCTTCAATTTCAGCTTTCATGGCAGCACACCATTCAGGAGAGGATAAGGCTTCTTGATAGGTTTTAAGCTTTATGTGACTTATTATTGAAGTAGCAAAGGCACGGTGATGAGTGGATAGTTTATTATAGGAAATGCTATCAGTAAGCGGAAATACATTACCTGTAATCTCAGTTTCCTTCTTGCTGTTCAGTTTCTGGAGTGGGAGAGGTGAAGATGCCTATTGACACATGAAATCCTACAAGTGAGAAGGAGCTTTTCGAATTCTGTTGGACCTGCGAGGTAAATGGCTGGTGACTGGTGCATTTGATTCTATGATATCAGTGACTGTTTGATTACTAACTGGTTGATCAATGTTCTGATTTGTGTTTTCATGAGAAATGAAGGATTCGGGATGATTTATAAAATCATGTTCACCATTATAATTGGTGTTATCAAATGAAGGGGTGATGGAATCATTGTTAATGACGGGGTTTTGTGTAAAGCTGAGATGATTGAAGTCAGACAAGGGTGTATTTTTGTCAGGACATGTGTTTCTAAAAGGAAAAATACTTTCATGAAAGTCAACATTTCTTGAGATGAAAACCTTATTTGTTTTTAAATCCAGCAACCTATATCCTTTTACCCCAAATGGATAGCCAATAAAGACACACTCCCTAGATCTAGGATCAAATGTGTGTCTACCATTTACAAGGGTGGTGGCAAAGGCCAGGCAGCCAAAAACTTTCAAATGGCCATACTTAGGCTTGATTTTGAATAACATTTCAAAAGGACTTTGATTGTACAAAATGGGAGTTGGTGTTCTATTTATTAAATATACCGCAGTCAGAACAAAATCATTCCAGAATTTCGAAGGGAGTCTACTTTGAAATCGTAAAGCCCTTGTCACATTCAAAATATGTTGATGTTTTCGTTCTACTACCGCATTTTGTTCAGGCGTTTCAACACAAGTTCTTTGGTGTATTATCCCCTTTTTAGAGTAAAAATCAGTCATGTTGAACTCCCCTTCGTTATTAGTTCTAATGGTTTTAACTCTAGTTTCAAACTGATCTTCAGCTATGGCACAAAAATTCTGCAAAGCTCTGGTGGCATCAGATTTAAAACTAAGCATGTAAACCCATGTGCATCTACTAAAATCATCGACAATAGATAAGAAATATTTAGAGCCATCTCTGTTTAACTCATTACAAGGTCCCCAAATGTCGCAATGGATTAATTCAAAACATTTTCTTGATTTGTGGTGACTGATGTTAAAAGGTAGTTTGTGCTGTTTGCCTAAAGGGCAAATGGGGCAATGACTTATACTAGGGGATACACAAATGTTTTCCTCAGGAGTGAAATCAGTAACTGAAGAATGCCCTAATCTGTAATGCCACAAAATAGAGTCATCATCATTCTTAACAGGTTCAAAAGTGGAGGACAGACACTTGAATTGATTGAAGGTATGTGATAAAGCAGAGGGAGAAACTTGCTTTTTCACCATGTGATAGAGTCCACCTTTCACCTCACCCATTCTAGTCATTCTCCAGCTCGAAAGGTCCTGGATATAACAGCAATTAGAAAGGAAAATGAGACAACAATTTTTAGTTTCAGCAAGTTTCCTTGCTGAAATTAAATTAAATGAAAAACTAGGAATGCAAAGCACATCGTGTAAAGTGATATCCTCTGAGACTTTGACAGTCCCAACCTGAGTGACTGGGACATTTTTTCCATTTGGTAATCCTACACAATAAGACACTTTAGCTTGAATGGAAGTAAAAAATGAGGTAGAACATATCATGTGATCTGTTGCCCCAGTATCAAGGATCCAAGGAATTTCAGAAATGGTTCCTTGATCATAGTGGTAGGTGGTTAGGCTTAATGGTATACTAGATATCTTGTGGTTAAAGTCAGCAGATGGTAGAGGATTAGCTGGTGTCTGAGAGTTGTTTGGTGAGAACAGAAGTTGTTGAGGAATTGTCATTGGTTTGATGAACGCTATCAGCTGAGAATATTGTTCCTCACTTAAGGATATTTGGCCCTTGTTCTTCACTACTTCTTGACTAGATGGTGTTGTTGAAGAGACCATGTTAACAGCGGCCTTTCCCTTATCATTAAATTTCTGTCCTTGTGGATATCCATTCAGCTTATAGCACATATCCGCTGAGTGTCCTGGCATTTGGCAATAAGAGCATGGTGACTTGGGATTTTCCTTGAAGCACCTATCAAGAGAATGACCTGCAATCTTGCAATGAGTACAATAGTATCGATCCTTCTTCTGTGAGGAAAAGTTTTGGTTTCCTGTCTCTCTATAGTTCCTTCTACTAAAAAATGCCATGGAATCAGAATTGACAGAGCTAGGATTTGATATCTCTCGCCTCTTCTCCTCTTGTTGAACTAAAGAATATACCTCATTCAAACTAGGGAATGGTTTGATAAGTAAAATCTGGGCCTTGATCTCTTTATAGGAGTCATTCAACCCCATCAGAAATTTCATGACCCAATCTCTCTGCTAGTTTTCAACGACAATCTTCATTCCCCCACAAGTGCAATTAGGAACATTCTCATAATTTAATAGCTCATCAAAAAGGATTTTGAGCTTGGAATAATAAATACTCACAGAATCTTGGCTTTGCATCAGAGTTGTGATATCCTTCTTAACTTCAAAAATACGTGGAGCATTTTGTTGGGAAAATCTTTGCTCAAGGTCCAGCCAAAGAAGGTGAGCAGTCTCAGCATAGATAGTACTGCTCTTCATGTCGATTGCCATGGCATTTTGCATCTAAGTTATGACAATGTCATTACACCTTAGCCAATGTTCCATCAGAGGCTCACTGGGATCATTTGGTTCGCACAGGGAACCATCAATGAATCCCAATTTGTTCTTGATCCTTAATGCCCTCTTCATTGAACGGGCCCAAGAGTAGTAATTGCTTGAATCCAAGACATGAGTGACTAGCATAAATTTCTTCCATCATTGTTCCCTATATAATAAGGGCTACTAGGATTTGTTGGATCATGAGGAAGAACAGTTGAATTCCTTTCCTCTGTTGGTTGAGTATTCTAGATTTGGTTTGGATTAGCATTTGTGTTTGCTAAATTAGATTCTTCCATTATTCTCTGATACCATGTAAAGTTTTGAAATATAGAAGATATGAACTAATTTGATTGAAGCTGAAAATTATATATCTATTACTTCAAAGAAGAAAATAAAATATTTGTACACAGAGCTACCAAGAAAATATATACAGCAATGAATGGAATCTTATCTAACAAACTGGCTGACTAACGCGTGAATGAAAAACTAATAAAACAATACAATGCTGTGCAAAAATAACTGTCTAACAAATCAGCTTCTAGATTGTTCTTCTGCTACATCCTTGTCACCGAATCCAGCTTGATTATCTTCACCAAATCCAGCTTGGCTATCTTCTTGCTGACTGTGTAGGTGACTCATCAGATTGGAATGATTCATCAAATTGAAATCTTGTGTTTTCAATACTTTTAAGGATTTTGTCCGAGTGTCTAGATTTGCTCATTTTACCTTGGTTGTATTCCATTTTGAACGGTGGTTGTTTATCAGTGACTAAGGCACTGGTGTTAATTGTGTTTTGTCTGAGGGCAACGATTAATGAGATTCCTTTCTTTTAATATTTTCTTTAGTTCTTACTTGTGCGTATTTTTGTCGATCTTGAGCTAATAATCAAGTTTACTTTTCAGTACTTTCTTTAGTGCTTACTTGTGCGGTTTTTGTCGATCTTGAGCTAATATTGTTGAATCTCCTCTTAACACAACCTTTCGAGCTTTTAATTTGTTAAGGTATGTGAGTTCCATACGAAGATACTCTACCCAAAGATCCTCAGACGTTGGGCATGCTCTCAAACCACTTTGCATAAGAGCACGAGCAGCAGTGACATTCAGGTTGTGGTCAAATTCCCAAGCAGCAGCATGAATCCAAACACGGGGCAATTTTGGATGAAACCTAATTACTTGAGCTAAAGCCGACATAAAATAACATCAACATATAAGGAATCTCTATATAATGTTGGACAGAAAAAACAAAAATATTTTACTAGTTTAATTGAATCCAGATTACGCACAACACCCATTTAAAGAGCAAGGTAAAGCTCTGAAACTGCATTGATTCACCGCACCTCATCACTCAAATATTACATCCATATTAGTCCATCATTACAAATTAATTAACATAATTCTAACAACAGAAGGCAACGAAACAAGAATAATTTCAGTTCCACTAAACAAAATGAATAAAAAAGAGTGATCACAGGCGGAGTCAGGATTTTATTCCAGTGAGGGTAATGACTTAATAAAATTTACAACCAGACAATAATACAAGGATATTAAAAGTGTTATAATACGTTTTTATTATATATTACAATTGTTCCATACAGTTTTTCGTAATTTGAAAGGTTTTATGATACCCCGTTATCAATGTAGGGCTACCAAACTGTTATTCTTCTATTAACTTATAATTCGATTGTGCAGTCCATTCTTCACAAAATTGTAATAGAAAATAGTCTCTACATTAAGGGCGTGGTTGGTACAGATTAAAATTGAAAAATTAGTCGTTATTGTTGACTTTTATTAGACGAGTAGGAACCAATAACAACTATATTTTTAATTTTAATTGGATTTTAAGTCATATCAAACATGCTCTAAGAGTAGTATTGAAAAAATTTAATGCCAAAATCATAACTTTTAAAGTAATCGGTATACTTTATCATTTCCATCGCGACGAACTTCTATGCAAGATAACTAGGGCCTTACAATCCTTTTAACTCTTTGCTAGAATGCATATCAATTAAAATTTAATTATTATATTAATACTTTGCTATTTTCTCTACTCAACTTTAATTGTGTCATAGTTGAGTAATCTTATTATTTTCTTCTTTCCAACCAATAAAAAGGGAATTAAAATTTTAGGATAAACTAAACATATTTTGGCCAATATGATGACCTTAAGCGTGAATTCAATAGGAAGAAGATAAAAATAAGAATTTCAAGAAACGAAATTAAGTGAGCAGTTAACTTTATATAGTGTCAATAATCAAACCAAGTATTGTTCGTCAAAATTAAAATAAAATTACACAAATTTATGTTAGAAAATAAAAAATAGAGACCAAAAATAGCGGGTCTTGGCCGCTTGAGCCTATGGAGGCTAAACAAGCCGCTTCGCTCCAAGTTGTCTAGCTCGTTGAGCATGCACTCATCTTGAACTGAACCACGTTCGCCATTGTCAGATAAAAGTGTGACGGGGATGTTGTGACCATGTGCGCGAAGGGGAGAGAGAGAGAGAGGCAGGTGTTTTGCGTGAGGAAGAAGAGGAAGAAGAAGATTATGGGTAGTGGGCTTAGGGAGGAGCTAATCTAGGGTTTGAATCAAAATCCAATTGGGCATTACATTTAGGCTTCAAAATTGGGCCCAGATACAGATATAGAGGGTTGGCCGACCAAACTCAATAATCGAATTGACTGTTCGAGTTTATTGAAATTCATTTGGGAAAAATTCATATATCAGGTGTTAAGTTTCATCCAATTCAATTTTCAGATCATAAGTTTAAAAATACAAAAATCGGGTATTTATTTATTAATTAAAAATATTTTATTAATATGTAATAAGGTCACAATTGTACAATTAATGGTCACGGATACATAATTATAGGTCACAATTTATTTTGTTGGTCATAGATCAAAAATTTCATAGATCACAGTTTATTTCATTGGTCACATATCAAAAAATTTATAGGTCACAGTTATTACGTTGGTCACATATCAAAGTCACAAATTATTTTTTTAATAACAAATGATCGAATATTGAGGTCACATGTTAGTCCGGTTGGTCACATACACCAAACATCCAACCACTGATCTCAATCCACCAACAATACTTGGTTACAAATCTATCAAATAGTTAGTCACAAATAGTCTTCATCTCATCTCGTAGTCCCCGGTGCCTCCGCCACTGTCACATCCACTGCCACAATAACAACACAACACCACGAGTACATCACCATTGTCACCACCACCAACCAGATCTGAACATACCAAATATTGGCCACATACACCAAACACCCAACCTCGACCCCAATCCACCAACAACACCATCACAACACCACAATCGTACATAAAAACACTGTCAAACCCACCCATCGCCAGAGTAACTGCACACTTGCAGAGCTATCTCCACCAAAGCACCCACAACACACACACACTTACCACCACCGCTTCCAGCCACCCCACCCTCTCACAGAATTAATCCCAGTCCCAGCACCACCAACTCGTTGCACAACCATCGATCACAAAAGCAACTCCAATCATCGTGCATCTTGTTGACAACATCATCTTCTTGCAGCGACGCTGGTATCGCATCAGATTGGCTCCAGATTTCACGTTGTGAACGCTACTGGCAAGGTGGCACTGTATCCAGCATCGTGCAAGACTTTCTTCCTGTGGGCAATGCCGACGACAGCATTCTTCCTATGGGTAGCGCCGATTTTGGATAGAGAGAGGGTAGTGAGAGAAAACGAATACTGAAAGTGAATTAGGGTTGGTGTGAATTATTAGTATTATAATATTATTTAAATATTCAATTGATACCCGATTTTTGAATATACAAACTTTAGACCTGATTTTTAAAAGGCTATTTTTAAACACCTGATTTTTTGTAATTTCCCAACTTTAAAAATTGAACGTATGAAACATTAATTAAATATTCAATTGATACCTGATTTTTGAATATTCAAACTTTAGACTTGATTTTTAAAAAGCTATCTTTAAACACCTAATTTTTTGTAACTTCCCAATTCATTTACGGTTGAACCCACTCTTCCCTGCCGACCCAACTCAATAATCGAATTGACCGTTTGAGTTGGGTGAAATTCATTTACGATTGAACCCACTCTTCCCTAATATATAATATGACTCTTCAAAATTTTATCCCACTATCCCACTCTTATATGTTGTCTACATTTGATCATCGATGTGGAATTTATTCCTTAACAAGCTCAAGGCCAAATACAAGAAAACCTCCCGCTCGACCTTGGAAACCCAATCCACCACCTTGGCACCACCGCCAAACCACAACCTGCACCAAAACCCTGCTTCTCCACCACCCAGGCCGGCTCCACCTCAAAATCCAACTTGCCCTCCAAAATCCCGGCCATAAAGAGGAAAGTGGTGGTGAAAGAATGTCCTCAATTCATCAGCTGCATTCTTATTATGGGAATGATCCTGGCATTGGTGTAAACCAATGCAGCAATAACCAACAGAAGGAGAATCTTGGCCACCATTCTGAATGTAGAATGAATTCTCATTATATTGTGTAGATTAGTTTCAGTCTTTGACAAGTAAAGATAAATAGATTTTCCAAATTTTTATAGTTTGGAAAAATTAAGTCCTTGTACAGCAACTATTAAATAACCGAATTAAACCATTTTGCCAGAAAAAAATTGACACTTTTGTTGATGTCCTATCACATTGTGGTGGGCCCCGTATGAATAAAAAAAGAAAAAAAATCCCCCTCCCCCCTATTGTGAGGGCTGCCAGGGAGGGTACCATTGTTCTAAATAACCAGCCAAAATCCGTGCTTTAACAATTTCCTTGATGATTAACCTAATTCTAGCCAAATTAAAACACCGCTTCATTATATATTTGCAAAGTTATTTTACTTATTAGAAGCTATGAATATAATCCATGCATAATGTTATCAAAATCGGATTGGAGCGGCTGGTTCAACCTAGACCTAACACATAAGACAAGAATTAAATACTTGCCGCTACACTAGACTCGACTCATCCTACAACACCCGCCCTTCCTTCTTTGGTCCATCCAATCGATGCATTAGCTTAAACAAGAGAGATTTTCAAGATATATGCAAATTAAAATTATATAACATATCTAATATTCCTTCAAATAAATACTTACTGCATGAAAAACCCAAGTTTACATAGGTTTAAAATTCTTGACTAATTAATTAGTTATCTTTATGTCATACAGATGAACCAAGAGTCAGCTCAAGAGAAACATCTTTGGCACCGTCTGTGAAGATGGATGATTCTAAAGCTAATTTCAAAGGCAAAGTACCCTCAGATTCTTCTGCCAAGGAATTTGGAAGCCACTTGAAACTCTTACCATCCTGCACTTCTGCTAACATTTGTTTCATCTCACCGCCCTGGAAATATAAAGCATAGTTAGAGCCACTGAATTTCCTCACTGAGACATTCTTGATTCTTGCTAAAATGGATACAGGGGTGAGTGTGAGAATGAGTTAAAAGAAATGTTTAATTATTACTTGAGAATTGGAGCTGCCCAGAAAATCCTTGAACATGATAGATGTTGAAACATTGAATCCACGTTCCTGTCCTTGTGTTGTTACATTGGAGTATGACAATGGCAGAAAAGTGTTCCTTTCATCTGATTTCTGTTGGAGCTCTTGCCTTCAAATCAAAGCATAGACAAAATCATACCTAGTAATTTCTTAGAACGATGAAATATAATGTTACTAATAATCGTGCTAAAACAGAAGAACGATGAAATGGAAGTTTGACGAAACCATATTGCTGGCCTGGTGGAGGCTCTTGCGACAATCTCAAAATCGTAACAACTCCCGCGATTTTCATTGTGGATCATGTTGTTACTAATGAATCTCTGACGGTAACATTGTTGGTGGTTTGTTTGCTGGGAATAGGAGGGACCTGAACTGTGTGAACAATTTGAATGAGTCGATTGCACCTTCATGTTCATACCCGCAGCTTCAGCTGCTTCTGCAACAATAAACCCTCGTTAGGCACTAAGATTTCAACTCCTCTTCAATATGTACAAAGATTAGTACAATGAGATTTAGCAATGTAAATCGTTTAATTTATACAAAGAAAAATGTGATGACGTGTTTGATATATTGAACTGCACATGATTAAAGAAGAAAAACTCGTAGTTTTGTAGACATTATGTACATATGGGTTTCAGTGGCAGTGGTCATCCGCCGGTTACAAGTGGATTGAATACAAAATCAGTTGACCAGAATTGTCTTTTACATGCCTCATCTCATTAAGCATGCCACAGGGATTATAAGTTGGCAAAACAAGATTAATCAGTATCACTTTATATTCACATTACCCTCATTTCATTTGGACATAAAAATCAGATTTTTAATAGATTTTGATGAAAATTGATAAAATGTATGATTCAAAAGTTGTGGGTCCCATCACATGAAATGTGTGATTAAAATTATAGTGTTGAGTTTTATTGAATTTTAATCCATCTTTTAGCGAAACCAAACGAGGCTAAATATCCAGTACTAATTAATAGAATATCGTAATTCGTTAACGTGGTGACCAATAATCTAAGTCAAAATGGGATACTGTCTTATTATCCAATAAATAAAACTACACTACAATTGCATTGGGCAATCGACACTGACGTCACTTTCACATAAACTATGTTCATCACCACCATTTATAAATAACATTAATTAGTCTAGTTATAATAAATAATGTTATTTAACATTGTAACACCGGTACTCTAAGTAGCAGTAGGGCTATTTTTCACCTTGTTCGAAGAATAAAAATGTACATGAACAGTATTGGACAATGTGACAATAACGTTACTGGTCACTGGTGTTAAGACCACTAGTGTTATATAACATAGCTCAACTAAAATATACAAAAAAGTTACTTTTTTGGGTAAAAACATCAACAACGCTTGTGATTAAACAACAAAATATAACAAACACCGACGAAAATATAACATCATGTACACAAACATTCAATGGAATAGATAAGTTTAGATGAAAGTTTTGAAAAATAAACTTACTTTTTATATTTGTGAATACACTTATATGATTTGGTAGTCGTGTGTGTGTGTGTGTGTGTGTTCATACCTTGTAACATCTGTTCATGCTTTGTGCTTCTGTACATCTGTCCACGAGAGATGAATGAGATATTAGATTACATCCATGAAAATCTATATATTTTATATTTATTCATAAATAGTAAAAACTGGTTACGTCATAATACAAAAATTCTTCCATGGTGACAAAGGAGGGTTTTTGTCTGCAACCTGAAGGTGACTCTTCACGTGAGTAATTGTTAAGCCCTTCACATTCATCAACTCCATCACCATTTTTGGAGTTGCTCCTACCAGAAAAGATTAAAAAAATTAATTACTTAATTTCAACTGAATTATATTAAATTTCTGATTAATCACACGGTAAAGTTTCTACTCTCTATTTCCATGCACGTGCAAAATCGTGGAATTTAAAGCTTACTGTCTTCTCCACCGAGTCGTTCAACAGCGTGCACGAAGCAGTGATGAAGATCCTTTGTCCATCTCAATCGAGGCATTTTCGACCTAACATAAGGCCTAACACCGGCAGGTCGAACCGGCATGGTCGAGGCCGGCTTGTTTTCCATCGGCCACCGTGAAACGGGCCTAACAGAGAATTCATCTCGATCTTTGATGTTAGGAGTGGAGAGGGAATTGGGAGAATCCATTAGAGAATTTTCTTCCTGGCGAGTTAGTCTATGTCACTACAAAAGAGAATAAATATTTGGGATGACTGTTGTCATATTTTGTCTATTTGTGCAGCTTTTTAGAGGGTCTCAGGGTCAGTTTAGTCTTTCCAAATTTGATTGTATAGCAGAAAAAATTCTCCACGGAATTCTGGACCCTTGGATAAGTTCAAATATGCATTCATGATTGGGTGAAAATTGAGGAGAGAAAACTTTAACTGAAAAATGTGCATCTGAAAAGTGAAATTACTTTTTAGCACATTTGCCAAGGACCCTCAATTTCATTATCAGAACATTCTCGTCTAGAAAATTTTGAATGAAGATGCTCTTTTTCATGACTTTCTACTTCTGACAATTCAGCAAATACAACCCTGAGAAAAGAAAGTTGTCTCAGTCGGTGGTCAAGTTCGGCATCTTAGCTGCGGAGACAGTAAAATGGATAAGATTTTAATTATGTTTTTGGTAATGTCGAGATCGTGAAACCACACGAGGAATGTTATTTAAAGCTTTGATTCATGTTTAATATTTTATATTGAATGCGATGGTTTAATTTGATTTTTCCCGTTGTAGGCTTCTTTAGGAAGTTGGCGGTGGCACTTGGCTCTATGCTCCTCGATGTGCTTCTTTCGCTACTATTTTAGGAGATACGTAGTTGGGTCGATTGTATGCTACGTTTTTTGGTTTTGTGTAATTTGCCGTAATGAAATTTTCTTTCTTACCCTTAAAAAATAAATCCACAAAAAATTTAAGTTAATTTGGTGAGGTTCAACTACTATATTAATTATGAACAGCTGACGGTTATAGCAAAAAAAAAATGCAATTAATCATAAAAGGCCAATGCAGAATTTATTGAATGGGGAATTGTGTTTATTTATGGTAAATATTTGGTAACGCTAGTTAGTCTGTTCAGCCTCGGTCTTTCCGCCGGGAACACGATCATATTTTGATTGTTAGTACGAAATTTGAATATAGAGTACCAAATTCTTTTAATAGTTCTGAGCTTAGATTAAGAATATCAAGAATAATAATATTATTTATCATCGCGATGTTTACTTGGCAAAAAATGGTATCAATAAATTGGGTCATGCGTCTCTATATTTCATTGGGTTTTTGACCTATCATTTAATGCTATTGTAAATATACGGAAAATTGTCACATTATTCTTATCAAATCGTATGGTGTGTGGCCTTTTGGAAATCATTCAATATTGAGTAGGTTTTTTCTGCTACAATTACATTAAATATTGAGATCGTATTCCAATATACCAAATTAGGCATTAATTTTAACATAATATATAGACAAATTGTAAGTCCTTATATAGTAAAAGAAATGGTGAAAAAAGAGGTGGGGGTGACATAATCGTATAGCAAATGCATCTCCTAAGGGAAACATACCAAAAATCCTAAAATTCCGTAAGTCTTGAATATACTAGAGAGCATTCCTCCCTTTAATCCGGCTGGAATTCAAAGTAACATAAATTCATCACTAATTTAGATAAATTTTACATTCAATGAAACCAAGAGAACCAATCACAAAATCACACATTTAACGCATCAATCACACATCGTCCCTTAGGCGATGACACGTCCACTGCTAGATGTCACAGCCATAACAAGATAGCGTTAACTGTGGTGGAATTCTAGGGTTCTTACGTTCACAAATTTTAGAATTTTCTTAGTTTCAAGTGGCAAAATTAATGAACCGGAACCAAATTGCATATTGGGACTTAGGATAAAATGCGAACGCGATTTTTAAAAATATCAAGAGTAATGTTATTCATCATCACGATATTTACTTGGCCAAAAATGATATCAATAAATTTGGTCGTTTCTATATTTCATTGTATTTTGGACATATCATTTAATGCAATTGTATAAAGTCGGGTGATTATCACGTCTAGTGATAAATAACATTATTCTTATCAAATCTTATGGTATGCGGCACTTTTGACAGTTGTTCAATATCGATTGGGTTTTTCTGCTACAGTTACTGTAAATATTCTTATCGTATTCTAATATACCAAATTATAGGATATTTCAATAAAAACTGTGTATTAAAGATAAAATTTAAATAAGTGTGCCACTAGACAAAATTCTAAGATCAAATGTAAGTCTAAAAATGGCGCACATATTAAGCCTTTAATTAATAATCATGCGAGGCGACGAAATAAAGACAATTTATATAAATAAATGTAACCTCTTTGTAAGAGGTTCAATTTTTAAATGAATGATTAAACACATATTTTCCTTGATTTCTACTCTAGATTGCCAAATTAATTTTGTTATTATTTGGCATTCATTTCAACCTAATAGACAAATTTTAAGTACTTACATGGTAAAAAAAAAAGGTGAAAATTTAATTAAATCATAATTATTTAGATTGACTATCCGAGAGAGTGAGAGAGAGAGAGAGAAGTGGGGGTGACAATCGTGTAGCACATGCATCTCCTTGGGGAAACATGCCAAATATCCTAAAATTCCAAAGTCTTGATTCTAGAGAGCATCCATCCCTCTAATCTGGCTGGAATTTCAAGTTACATAAATTGATCATGAATTTTGATAAATTCTGCATTCATCAAACCAACTGAACCAATCACACATTTAACGCATCAATTACACGTCATCACTTAGGTGATGACACATTCACCGCTAGATGTCACAGCCGTAAGAAGACAATGTCAACTGTGATGGAATTCTAAGGTTCTTACGTTCACAAATTTGGAATTTTCTTAATTTCGAGTGCCAAAATTAATGAACCTGAATCAAATTGCATATCGAGACTTGGGATAAAATGTAGACACAATTTCAAAGTTAGGGGAGGGGAGATATTCGTTGTGATGGACTGTGTGAGGCATGGACGGGGGTTGTTTGACGGTAGGTGGAAATCGCATTTTTAAATAAAAATGCAAAAGTAAAACTGAATATTTTTCTCTTATTTTAAAGTATGCTAACAAAATTTTTAGATAAAAAGCATCATTAAAGATAATATGTGCTAATTAATAAACAATTGATAATAAATATATGAGCAAAGGTTATAGACTTTTAATGCAATTAAATTATGAATTTTGTTACATATATATCAGGGGTTACATAATATTACATGATATTCTACAATTTGCAAATTTAAAATACAGTCAATTTTTTCATCCAATCTTTTCCTCTACATCATATTATGTAATCTTTTATATACAATTTTGATGTATAAGTAACAAAATCCTTAAAACATAGTGCATTTATACAAATCTGTAGTTAATAGAATTACCCCATAGTAATTACTAGTAGTTCCTATAAGTTGGCTGTCTCGACAATTGAAAATTGAGAGCACAAAATCCCGTTTGAGGTAAATGGGGTCCAAGAATCGTCCTCTCAAATTTAATGTCTAGACCCACATTGGCTGCTAGGTCCAAGAAATGGCTCCATAAAAATTGGGGAAAAATTCCATTAAAAATAAATTAAAAAACACGCACTTGCTAATGCCTAAGCTGACATTAGGCCATTACATGAGGAATTGACTACCTTTTTCCACACCCTGTCTTAATGTAGGACGTTTCGAAAATGCCTAGCATAGGCAACACCATTTTATTTCACACCTTATAGAACACTGACCATGAACTCAGTAACAAATTTACTTATAAATTGAACACGGTAAAAAAATTCACATTTAATGTAGGACCTATTTGCTTGCCTCGAATACTTTCTTGGGTTTTTCAATGGTTTAAAGCGTCGAACATTGTATTGAAGTGAAAAAAAAAAACATCACGGTAAAAAGATGCATAAGAAACGCATGTTATTTTTGAAGGTAACTAGACAGAACAATTTCGTCCGTGTATTGGCCATCTAACATCAGGACTGATTGGCTAAATTAATCATCAAATTATTCCAATAACTCAAACAAAATCAATTCAGAAAATTGATGCAAGTGATGAATACTCTAATGAATCAATATAACTCGTAGCTCGAGTTAAGCTGCTTAAGTTACCGCTGTGCATTCCCCTCCCTGTGAATCTGATCACCCTCTCGTGACAGATTTTAGGCCATCATAGTGGTCTAGTGTGGCGCCCTCTTGCTCTGCCACAAAGGAGGGCATTCCCTGGGATATGATATTCATCCCTCCATGAAGTCGACGGGGTGTAAACCCTTAAGTAGAATTGATTACCCAAGTACTGCCTTGCCCAGTTCTCAGACCTTATGTTCCACATTCCCACATTGTCCAAGGCTATATATATTGAAGTCCAAGATTTTGGATACACCTGTGATTAGAACCACATTATTAGTAAAAGAAAACTGTAAGAACCTATATTTGCTTTGCTGTTTAACAAGTCATGTCTTAATACCTGAGCCGTACAACGGGCAACCGTGTCTCTCAAATTGTATCTTGACCTACTTGCAGGAGTCCACTGCCCACCATTCATTCTGTTTATTCACAGCATTAGCAAACTAATAAATCGTCAAGAAAGAATGAATACCTCAACTTCTCCAAAATTACAAAGTTGCTTATCCAACAATGGAGAAAGAATATCCATCAATGTGTGTTTCGTGCGGGTTATCACTAACAATTAAAAGAAAAGTTCAGACGATTGTGTAAGGAACAAATCTCTTGAGACAAAGTCCCAAAAAGTGGTGATTTATTTATGAAGATTACAATTGGGAAGAAGCAAAACGCCTCCAAGGGACACAAGCACACGAAGTAAATTGAAAGTTTACACTTAGAAAATAAATGAATTGAAATTACATATTCTCTGTTGAGAGTGATTGATTCGGATCCTTCCTTCTATGTCTTCTTTTCCTTTTTATACTCCTTTACCAATTTTCTCTTGTAGAACTGTTTGGAAACTGCCGACGCTCTATAACTACCCTCTTTCTTCGTGATGACTGACTTGTCAAGTAACTGCCGTTAGCAACTGTTGTTAATGTTCTTGTTATTTAACCGCTTGTAACCGAGATTCTTGGATCGTGTGGTGTAATAAGGTTGCTCAATAACCGCTTCGCTAACGGTCGTTTTAAATAATCACAAGACACCGTACTCGCTCAAAATGGCAAAATTAATATCGATTATTAATTTTTGCCATATTTTTCCATTGTATTTTTAGGCAATACTTGAAATTTTCCAAAAGAGCAATGAATTTCAATCATTATGTCCATTTGGCGGTAACCCTTTAGACCCATATAACCCAAAAGACACGCCACTTCGTAACTCCACTACATTCACGTTTGTACATCGTGCTTCTCTATAAAGGTCATTGTTCGTCATCTTGCTTCTTTGCTACGTTTCTCAAGAACTCTCCACAACTACTGCATTTCGTTGCAAATGGCGACTTCACAAACTCCTTCCGATAACTCTCTTAGTTTCGAGGATTTCCAAACCCCCTTACCAAACCATATGAAAATCCAAACTTTCTTTCGCAAGCCCGCCCTGACCGTGATGAATTGTACTTGGCTGATTGATTGGCTATGACCAAAACTGAATAATGTTAGATATTTTTTCATCATTTTGCATGTTTATCTTTTGTTTTGCGAATGTTTTGCCGCTCCGACTAATGTTTGCCACTACGCAACGGGAGTCGATCAGGTAGCGGGGGTCGAGGGGGCAGCGCCCCCCGTGAGGGCTAGGGGGCGTTAATTTTATTTTGAGAAATCTTTGAAGATATGTTTCTTCTAACAGATGCATTCATTCATTTTAAGGGACACACATATTCAAATGGTTGCCTCCATTTCTATATTTTCTGGGCAAATTCTCATTTACAAAACACGTTAAAAAAATAAAATTCATTATTTTCTATTCTTCTCTCTTCCTCTTGGCATCATCAGTTTCTTTATAGATTGTCTTCTTGGTTTGATCAAATAGTCACAATTTGAATCAAACGCCTCAATTGTATCCTGAGAGAGATTTTCTATCATACCTCAGCTGTGACTTTGTTGGATAGGGGAGAAACATCTTTTAGAAGATAACAATTATCGTGTCTTGGAGCTCATTAGTTTTTTCAGATGTTCCTACATATTTCCCAACAAATAAGACAGCCCTAAATGGATGTCGAGGGAAGAGTACGTATTCTGGAGCGTGTGAGATCCTTCTACCTCGACTAGTTTCATTGTGTGTCCCTGGATTCTGAAGTTAATGGAAGTTGTAAGTCCGACATTCGATATCCTGAACCTGTAGGTTTTGCCAGCAGAAAATATTGTGTGGATGTGGGAAGGAAAGCAGGCCGCAAATACAAAGTACAATAATAAAATTTTAAATAGATTGCTAGATTAAGAAATTTAGGTTACCTTGATCAACCGTAAAAGTGTATCCATTCCACCCTCGACCATTGATCAGAAGGCCATCAGGGAAGGGAAGATTGTGACTGGTATCCAAGAAATAAGTCAGTTGCTGCAAGAACAAAAGCAACACATAACAAATTAGATGACACATTTATAAGATCAAATTGTTGTGAAATCTTTATAGCACGTTTGGTAAGGAGGAAAAATAAGCTGAAATCTTGTTTATTATACTGCTTATCCTACTCAATGTTATATACCAAACATGCACTTAATTTTCAACAATATGCTTACCCTTTGACTTCTCTTGAACCAATCCCCAACAAGGACGGCATAATCCCGAGCAGGAGGAGGGAAAGGTACTGGAATTCGAGGACGGCTGGAAATTTTGATGCTACCATATCCTCCGGCTGCCTTATGGAGTGCAAGTGATGGAAAATAGAAATAGGTGCCTATCTGGTCCTTCGCTTGAAGGACGTAAGTGAAGTTTTTCCTTGGTGGAATCGGACAGGTAGTACCATAAACTCCATCCTACCATGGTTATTTAAACATTAACTACATATAGCCCAAGGCCTCAACGTCATTCAAAAACTGATTAAAACATCCCTCCATGTTCTTATAACCACAGATTTTATTCTAACTGTTTACATAGTACCAAACTACACATACATATATCAGTGTTCTACTTCCATGGTCGAACCAGTTCTTTATCCCTCATCCAACCTGTATAATACTACTTATAATATATTCCAGGATTTGTAACACAACAAGGTACTACATTTCACATCCTCACACAGTATATTAAAAATCGAGCTCAAGTCCATGGAGGAATAAGTTACCGTGTACAAGTACAACTCTTTCGAGCACTTTTGATTGTTTCCAGAAACATTCGACCACATTTTCTTTCTAAGCCAAGAAAATTATGAATGCTCCAGATATTGCATATGATGTTCATGTTAATAGTCAGTTTGTTACTTCTCCTACTACAGTTCATTGGGCAGCTGTTCATCGTATATTGCGATATCTAAATTCTCATTTGCAAGACACATTAAAAAATTCGTTATTTTCTATGCTTTTCTCTTTTCTCTTGGCATCATCAGTTTCATTATAGAGTATTTTCTTGGTTTGATCAAATAGTCACAGTTTGAATCAAACGCCTCCATTGTATCATGAGAGAGATTTTCTATCATACCCCAGCCGTGACTTTGTTGGCTAGGGGAGAAACATCTCTTAAAAGATAATGATTTTCGTGTCTTGGAGTTCATTAGTTTTTTCAGATGTTCCTAAATATTTCCCAACAAATAAGACTGCCCTAAATGGATGTCGAGGGAAGAGTACGTATTCTGGAGAGTGTGAGATCCTTCTACCTAGACTAGTTTCATTGTGTGTCCCTGGATTCTGAAGTTAATGGATGTTGTAAGTCCGACATTCGATATCCTGAACCTGTAGGTTTTGCCTGCAGAAAGATATTGTGTCGATGTGGGAAGGAAAGCAGGCCGGAAATACAGAGTACAATAATAAAATTTTAAATAGATTGATAGATTAAGAAATTTAGGTTACCTTGATCAACCGTAAAAGTGTATCCATTTCACCCTCGACCATTGATCAGAAGGCCATCAGGGAAGGGAAGATTGTGACTGGTATCCAAGAAATACGCCAGTTGCTGCAAGAACAAAAGCAGCACATAGCAAATTAGATGACACATTTATGAGATCAAATTGCTGTGAAAGCTTTATAGCACGTTTGGTAAGGAGGAAAAATAAGCTGAAATGTTGTTTATTATACTGCTTATCCTACTCAATATTATATACCAAACATGCACTTAATTTTCAACAATATGCTTACCCTTTGACTTCTCTTGAACCAATCCCCAGCAGGAGGAGGGAAAGGTACTGGAATTCGAGGACGGCTGGAAATTTTGATGCTACCATATCCTCCGGCTGCCTTATGGAGCGCAAGTGATGGAAAATAGAAATAGGTGCCTATCTGGTCCTTCGCTTGAAGGACGTAAGTGAAGTTTTTCCTCGGTGGAATCGGACAGGTAGTACCATAAACTCCGTCCTGCCGTGAGTTTCTCCTTTGCTGTAAGCCATTCCTAAAAATCAATGGTTATTTAAACATTAACTACATATAGCCAGAGGCCTCAACGTCATTCAAAAACTGATTATAACATCCCTCCATGTTCTTATAACCACAGATTTTAATCTAGTCGTTTACATAGTACCAAACTACGCATACATATATCAGTGTTCTACTTCCATGTCCGAACCAGTTCTTTATCCCTCATCCAACCTGTATACTACTACTTATAATGAGCATGTCTGGCATTGATTTTAAGCAGAATTCCAGCCGTTAAACTACAAAAAAAAAAAAAACCAATAATCTGACCGTTTCAGCCGTCATTTTTTACCATTTCACTCACCGGTGGGACCCAGCTTCCTTGCAAACGGTCAAATAATCAATTATGAAAATCAATGCAAGACATGCTCTAAGAAAATTAATTTTTAACTTATTCGGATAATTATCACCGGTGGGACCCAGCTTCCTTGCAAACGGTCAAATAATCAATTATGAAAATCAATGCCAGACAGGCGCAATATATTCCAGGGTTTGTAACACAACAAGGTACTACATTTCACATCCTCACACAGTACATTAAAAATCGAGCTCAAGTCCATGGAGGAATAAGTCACGGTGTACAAGCACAACTCTTTCGGGCACTTTTGATTGTTTCCAGAAACATTCAACCACATTTTCTTTCTAAGCCAAGAAAACTATGAATTCAATGGTCAAATAATCAATTATGAAAGTCAATGCCAAACAGGCGCAATATATTCCAGGGTTTGTAACACAACAAGGTAGCATTTCACATCCTCACACAGTGCATTAAAAATCGAGCTCAAGGCCATGGAGGAATAAGTCACGGTGTACAAGCACAACTCTTTCGGGCACTTTTGATTGTTTCCAGAAACATTCAACCACATTTTCTTTCTAAGCCAAGAAAACTATGAATTCTCCAGTGTAATAGCACCATAAATACTGAACTGCCATTAATGCCTTGCACATTGAAAATCAATAACTAATATAATTAAAAGAAAAAGTTAGTTTGATTTATTGTATTCCTAAATTATGCAAATTGAGGTTGAACTAATAAATAATAGAGTATGGCTTTACAGTAGCATGCTACTTCATGTGTCTCACATTGTTTAATTTACATAGAAGCTTAATGACAAATATAAAAACCCAATATGTGGTGGATGTCAGAGATCTAGCAGGTGCACACAGGCTACAGCACAATGATAATCTTTACGAGGAAATAGGAGGAAATGACCTTTTCATTTGTGTGTAATTCCAAAATGACCTTTGACTGGGAAATAGAATTAAAAAAAAAAAAAAGGTTAAAATATAACTTTACTTGAAAAAAGTCAAAAATACCCTAATTTTATCAGAAGGAAGGCTCTCACTCACGGATTTGGGCCGGCTGTCACTTGGGCCAAATAACAGCCGGCCCAGATTCGACTCCCAGATCCAACTGCTGACAGTCTGATCTGGGCCGACTGCTATTTGGCCACAGCCAGCCCAGAGCACTAAATTTAACAGTCGGCCCATATTTTTTTTATTTTTTAATAATTTAATATAATAAATGGTATAATAAATAAATATTTATATAAATAAATATTTTACTTAATTGAATAAAATTTATATAATTC